ATAGTGAAACTGGGGAAAAGTCTCTTTATTCGTATTTTGTTTCTTATTTATAAAGACATATTTGTACAATTATAAAAAAGAAAAAACGGATAAGGAAACTTCCCTTAATACGATTAATTATGTTGATTTCATATCAAATCGGTATGACAATTTGAAGTTGAATATGAAGGTAACTAGACAGTCGACTTGTTTGGGTTCGGCCGACCGAGGCGATCTGTCAAATGAAGATCGCGTTTGTCGAAGTAAAAACCGATCGGTCAGCTGGTTGTGATCAGATGCCCTAGTAAGGAGCCTCTAGACAAGAGGTTGCATGTGTGGTCTGTCGATTGAGTCCCTCGTTAAAGTATGTTGATTGACTTCAATCAGGTGGTCAGTCGTCAAATGAACGGTTCAGATCGTGCTCTTTTGTTTTGACCCCTCGATCACCCGACCATTATCTTGGGGTGTTGGATTGCTTTGAGATCTGTGTTGACTGTTCTAATGTATGCATATTAGTTCTTTGAGTTTTTCTAGTCTTTGAAAGTGACAGTTGCGATAAAGACAAGAAAACTATTTAATAATTAGCGGTGCTAAAATCAAGGAAATCAATGTGATAACTAACTTTCCTTTGCATTTTGTGCACAGTGTGATCTATAAATAGAATCACAGGTTCAGCAAGGTATTTGTTCCGTCATTTTTCCCAGCTAACTGAGTTGCATCATGACTGATGGTTCAAGTCGGACCAGTGTATATCCCAAGATTCTCCCCAAGGAGTGCTACGACCCCTTGGTTTCTGCAAAGAAGAACAAGTCAAGAAAGGGAAACGGTCGAGGCCCAAACCTTCGTCGACCAATCAAGTCGACTCATCTATGGATCCCGAGGGGTGAATGCCAAAAGTTCCTAGTTAAGACACATCGACCAGTTTGTTCCTGTTGCAGTGGCCAGTTTGCAGGCCAAATATGAGGTGGCTTAACTTGGTCCACCCAATCTGCCTAGCGAAGGAAGTTGCCCAGGTCGATCGACTCGTGAAGCGCTCCCAGTTGGCGCAATGCCTTGACCAACCCACTTCGGAGGGTGGTGACCACCACCTATAAGGACGATACGTCCAAACTCTCGGTTGTCATATTGGTTGATAACTCTCGAACAAAATCTATGACAGGGCCTCCGGCTGCTCCCTCAGAAGAACCTACCCTCCCACCGGTCCCCTGACCCTTCGCCCACCAATGGCTTTGAACGGAGTGAACATGGTGGCATTAGTCTTGCTCTGGAGTCATGGAACAACATGCAAGGGGACTGGGTACTTGGGGATGACGGTTGGTTTTTCGGAGGGAGCGGCCGGAGGTCTGGCCGTAGATTTTATGTCATACAAATAAATATTTATTTGTGCTCGGCTCATTTATAAATCGAGCAAAAAAAAATGACCGTGTTCGACATGTTAACTTAAAGAACAAATTGAACATAAGTGTTTTAACAAGCCAAACATGAATTGTTTGTGAATAACGAGCCGTTTTGACAGCCCTATATTTTAATATGAAAGTTTAGATGTGAGATACGTTAATACACGAGAATTGTGTGCTATGCACTTAAATGCGCTCACCCCTGTTTAGACTGACTCTCACATGAGTTTTCTTTGATGCTCCTTTAGATCTGAGTTTGCTAAAGCAAAAGAAACAAGTCGGCACCCCGCCCCCACGAGGATCACTGTACAGCATTAGATTGCAGAATCTATCTGCTTTTGCTTAACAAAGGTCAGTCACCGCACAATATGACATGAATCTATTATCTATGACTCCTTTTCCTAATCTCTCTTTTATTTTTACCTCCCTCAACTTTTGTCTTTCTTATGCTCGGATACCGATTGATTAAATATGCCATGTTAAAATTCTTCATTTAAGTATAAATGTATAAATGTATGATTTCAATAATATTATTCCACCAATAAAATTATCATAGCATTTAAATTTAACAACACTTACTTAATTATCCTTTAAAAATAACTATAAGCTAACTAGTGCAATAGTTCATCTAAGAAATAATTTAGTGATGAAAATCAACTAAAGGATCTAACTTTAATCGCTTTTCAAAAATATATGTAAAGCATAAGGCAATTGAATCTATACGCAATTAATAAAATGAAAATCATAAAATAAGTCACTTTTAAGAAAATAAAGTTAATAAGTGGGACCTTATTGAGTAAGATATAAACAATATTATATGTGGCATAAATAACATCAATTAAAGATGTTGTAATAAAACTATGATAATGTAATTTAAGTTATAAATTGTGAATAAGAGATACATTTTTTTACTATTAGGATCATCTAATGTTGCATATTATGTTTTAGAGTTGATAAAGTATATAACCAATTTGATGATTATTAAATTCAAATGTGAAGCATCCACTTACATTCAAGTTGTATTTACTCATCCATAAAAGACATTAGTCATTTATATATATATAGGATTTCACTATGCCCCTACATTCAGAAAACTAAGCAATAGTCCAATATAAAGCCAATTATTTTTCAAGAGGATATCACAATTTGGACCTACCAATCCAATTAACCAATACCCAAATATGCATTACTAATATAACATATATCATGCAAACATCATTCATTTTATAAATTTATGTTTTATTAGAAGTTATATAATGATGTACACAACTTTCGTTAAAAATTGTGTGAGAAACAAGATTGCATGCTCAATTATAACCTTCAGCCACCTCCTCACCTCACTCATCATTCGTTCATCCTCCCTCCCCTCCCCCTAAACCTTCAGGACAATTTAGAAAGCATTGTCAAGCTAATTTGATTGGACCAATTTGGTCCAAAGTATGAGTCATTATATTTGGAAAATTTTAAAATAAAATCTTAAGCAATCTTAGGGGCATCTTCTAGAAACATAAATATTGAGTTGCATTTTAAAAAGAAATGAAATAAGTAGTAATTTTATTCAAATTAGAGAAAGGATAATCACTAAAAGAATTTGATTAATAGTCTCCAAAGTAAAACTGCCACAAAAAAAATAAAAAAAAATCGAGTCAGCCAGATAATCGGTCGTTGGCTCAACTAGTCGAATCAACTTATTTCGATTAGGTTTAAAAACACTGGTACAAGAAAAAAACTAGCATGTAAGGACTTCCAGTGTAAACTACAACCCTCTCCACCTTAACGGTCCAAAGATACTAAGAGGTTGTTTAGTTCTGATTAATTTATAATCACGCTGCCACCAGTTGTTGCCTGTTGGACCCATGCTCATCATTGGCTCTATCAGCCGCACATTATTATCATCGTTGTCAGCTGCCTACCACCACCGATCACCTTCGCGCACACAAAAATTATACTCTTACATTTATTTTACACCAAATCAAATAAATTACAAATATTTTAATTATACTATATTTCAATTATACTTCTTTTACGCTTTTTTTTCCCCCAAATCAATCAGCCCTAGATATGCATGAATTAAAAGGACTGAATATCAGGGAAAGGAGTATTTTAGGAGCGAAAAAGCTCTTCATTTCTCTTTTTATATTTTATTCCGCTGCCCATTGACAGCGCGTGGTCACTCACTTGCGCTGCAGCCCTAGGTCCTACCCTAAAGCCTCCTCCCCTTCCTCCGATTCTCCCTCTCTAAGCTCTCTTCTTTGCTTTGGACGTCTGAACTTCACAACGGCGCAGTAACACGGGAAATATTCCTCCCCGTGTTATTCATGTGTTATTGTGTGTTATTCATGTGTTATTCATGTGTTATTGTGTTATTATAATACCAGGAATATTCTCAGGAGACAATAACACATGAATAACACACAATAACACATGAATAACACGGGGAGGAATATTTCCCGTGTTACTGCGCCGTTGTGAAGTTCAGACGTCCAAAGCAAAGAAGAGAGCTTAGAGAGGGAGAATCGGAGGAAGGGGAGGAGGCTTTAGGGTAGGACCTAGGGCTGCAGCGCAAGTGAGTGACCACGCGCTGTCAATGGGCAGCGGAATAAAATATAAAAAGAGAAATGAAGAGCTTTTTCGCTCCTAAAATACTCCTTTCCCTGATATTCAGTCCTTTTAATTCATGCATATCTAGACGTGTATAGTACTGATGTAATATTTCTTCCTCTCTATGAAAGCAAACAAAAAAGTGCTTCTCAAGAAGTTTCCTTCCCTACTCCTGCACTCTTTCTCCTCCTCCTCTTCGCCATTACAAAAGAAGAAAGAAGCCATCTTTGCTTGTCCTGCGGCCTGCTTCGCTAGTGAACACGCCTCTCAAGCGGCTCACTTCCTATGGCCTCGCTTCTTTTGTTTAATTTATTAGGCTACTCGGCGTTGTGCTTCGCGTGTGGTGTTATTTGTAATGTTTGAGTTTCAGTGGTTTGAGTGACTATCGGTGGTGATCTCTGTTTCTATAATCTGGTTAGAAACGATGGAAAAAGCGATTTTTTTTTTCTGGTCGGGCCTTTTTCTTTCTTTAATGTTTGGAAAAAAAAACTTCTTGCTTGCACTTCTGTTGCAAAGATGGAACTTTTGCCTCTATATTTGTCGGATGAAGATTTAATTCGTTTGAAGTTACGCATTTTATTTGAAATTTTAATTTGAAGGGTAAGAAATCGTGCCGTTTGCACGGTGCTCGAGGTTCAAGGTTTTGCCTACCTTTCAGGTTTCAGAACTGACTCATTGTCTCTCTAATATGTTTATGTTTATCTAAGTGCTTGCGTTCTCTTCTAAGGTCTAGAATTGGCTTCCAAGTTTCATGCCTTCTGGCTACCGTGTCTTTTATATCAATACCAAACATAATTTTTCAGTTTAAATCACGGAGAAGTTTGTTTCATGCAGTAAACTGTTTCAATATTGAGAAATTTAGTGCTTTTAGGCATCATCAGAAATTTTTTTGTGAATAAAAGGAATATTTTCACACTTTATCTTATATTGATCTCTAATTGCTTCATCATCCTCTAGATGGAGAAAAACAACCTGATTTCAATAAGGACAAGGAAAAGAAAAGCAGCAGAGCAAGTTTAACCATTTGCCCATCTTGCCTTTAATGAGTTAAGCCAAGACCTTCTTGAGGAGATCCTTTCATGGCTCCCAGCTTCAAGCTTCTTCCGTCTGCGTTCAGTGTGCAAAAGATGGAGCTCAGTTGCGGCCTCTCCAACTTTTAGCATTTCCTGCTCTCATATTCCTTTCAGAGATCCATGGTTCCTCATGGTTGATCAGGATCTCGACCACTCCTTCATCTTAGACACCAGTGAAGGAAATTGGAAGCGTCTCAATAGGCCAAGCTGCTTCAACCAAAGCAACCAGGCTAGTTGGATTGCCGTAGCTTCGTCTGGCGGTTTGGTCTGCTTTCGCAGCAACATGGGTGAATTCATGGTATCCAATCTTCTCACTGGCGCATGCAGAGAAATCCCTCCTGCTCGTGAGACACAACCTCTTCTTGCAGTTGCCGTGAGCTCATCTCACAGTAATTCATTCTCATACAGAATTGTGCTTGTTGCAGGGGAGCTCCCCAACTTACCCTACAGAGTTTTTGACTCGGAGCAAAACCAGTGGGAGGATGAGGTGATGTTGGCCAGGAAGCCTGAAGGTTCACCGGAAACAGACTTGGCAGGTGATACGGTATACTTTCTCAACAAATCCGGTGATGTGGTGGCTACAAGTATGCAGAGGAACCCATCCAGGCAATTCTCAGCTGTTCTGAGCATCAAAGATGGGGAGGAGATAGTCTATTTCCTTAGCCATTTGGGCTTGGTTGTGGCCTGCAACATCGCTAAAAATACCTTCCATGAGTACCCAATGCTGCTGCCTGTTAGCTCTGAGTATTCCGTTGATGTTGTTCTTTGCATGAAGGAGATGGTGGTGGTGCTGATGTCTGATTTATTTGAAACGGCCAGTCTCAGGTTATGGAGATTCTCTGAGGCAAAGAGAGCATGGCAACAAGTCATAGCCATGCCCCCGGTGATGTCTCATGAATTCTATGGTAAGAAAGCCGACATCAACTGTGTTGGCTGTGGGGATATGATCTTTGTATGTCTGAACTCCAGTGAGTTCAGCAGATGTGTCATATTTAACGTGGGGACTAATGAATGGTTAGAACTGCTTAAATGTTTGTGAATGGTAAAACTAAGGATTTTATATCTGCCTTCACTTTCGAGCCAAGACTGGAGGCTTCTGTATGAGTGTGAATTTGTTTTTATTTATTTTTTTCGTTTGATCTGAGAGCCTGCAAGCTCTTCATTACTCGTTGTATGATGATTTACATAGAAGTATTGCTTATATTCTAGTTCATGTTTTCTACATGTTTTGGATCATTTCTACTCTTTTCTTCTTCAGATTTTAAGAGCATTGAAAGAGCTTAATGAGTTGAAAGCTTTGGCTGGTTGAAAGCACCCTCCACCAATTGGAAAAGTGAGAGCTTGCTTTGTAGCCTTGTGGCAGCTAGGATTCCACTAGGAAGATGTAGCAATTTTTAAGTCATGCAGAATCCATATTATAATTTGTCTGCAAGTGGGGAAAGCTTGGTTGAGGAGTGACTGGAGTCCATTAAAGAGATGTTCTGAAGCATTCACTTGATAATGCAATGACACTGTTGTATTGAATTATAGAAATAATATCATGTATAGTCTCGGAAGGTAGTTTTTCTATACAAATCTGCGCCAAGACACATGAGCATGCAATATCTACATATTTCGGGTTTTCAAGAGGTATTGTATGTTCTGCATGAGAATTTCTTATTTTTGTAACTAAATATCATTTGCAAGGATAAAATTTATTATATTCAAGAGAGATAAATGCATGAAATATAAGTCCTGTTATTTAGAAACCAGTTTAAGATACAGGAATATATTTAGCAACAAATCAAAGGTAAAATTATCCTTACTGTTTATTATTCATTATAAACGCCAATAGAGATCTATGACATTAAAAAAATCGATTGTCATATTTTAAGCTTGCCTCAATCTGGCAATGCCTACATCATGTTAATACTTGCTGAATATCTCTGAATAAAACTATGATCCATTGTAAGTACGCAACTTCATAATTCTTTTTTTGACTACATTTTTTTGTGACTGATCTCCACTGTTTATAAAGCTTGAGGGTGGTAAAGAAGATTGAGGGTTTAGAATGAGCTTTGGCTTTCTATCAAGCACTATTTCATTACCCTTTTATACTTAGATATACAATAAATATACATATTTTAAGCATTAAGAATATAAGATGCATATTTTATATAATGCCCGTGCATAATTAAAAAAAAAAGTTTTTAAGTATCACATTTTGATATTTCACAAAATCATTATTTAATAAACTTATAATTTTAAATTGATGTTATTATATAGCTCATACCTTTTATTTCAAAATGTAAGACAAAATCTATACAACACTTGCCTTTTTATTTATTTCCAAATTGAGAATTTCACTCTCTTTTAAAAAGTTGCAAATCAAAGCCATATTTATACCTTTGAACTTTCACCATTTCAATAAAAATAAAAGCAAAACTTATATAACACATATACCACTCAATTCTTATGTATTTACATATCTAACGCCTGCATTTTAATTTTTTACATTTATAACACTCAAATCTTTATAATCAAATAAAAATATCAGTATTTTATAAAAATTAAAATAGCTGAGACAAATATGAAAATTAAAATATAAGCGTCAGATTTGTGAATACCTAAGAATTAGGTGGCATCTGCTAGACATTAATCCACCTATTCCCTTGGATGAACGAATCCACGGAAAACTCCTCCGCCTCTGCATCACTCATTTTAGGCTTGTAACCGCGCCAGCCAACTCTTCCGGCCAAGTCCGACCCATTCCCACTGTTCCGATACTCACCGAAAAATATCGAGTCCGGCGGCATCATGCCGGGAATCATCTCCGTCCATCCCTCCGGCTTCACCACCCTTCCTATCTCCGTCATCATCACCACCGTCCTCGAGTAATTTTTCCCCGGCCGGCCAAGAAATGTCGTCGGAGCCGACAAATCGCCGAACGGCGAAATGACGCAACTTTGGATCACCGTTCCAGTGTTTTGGTTCGGGTCGGACCGAGCCTGAGCGGTGATGGTGTTAGTCTGGCCGGAGATTGGTTGTGTGGGCCTTATGGTGCAGTTCTGGAAGACAACGGCGCCGTCGCCGATGATGAAATCAATGGAGCCGGTGATATCAGAGTTAAGATAGATTTGGCGGAGGGAATGGGGATAGAGGGTGTTGTGGAAGGCTTGGAAGGAACAGCGGAGGAAGATAGACCGATCTGATTTGGAGAGGAGTGCGGCAGCTTCGCTCTTTTCCGGGCCGGCGGTGTTCCTGAAGGACATGTCCATTGCAATGAATCCTCTCCCCTCGACAGCTGAAAGAAAATTCGTGTGAATTGGATCTAATAACAAAAAAAATTAAGAATTTTATGCTGGCAATCATCTCGCCGAGTAGAAACTCACTGAAAGTCGCAGACTTGTAAGCTGTGCTGCCGTCGACTCTGTTCCGGCTGCCGGTGATGATGGTTCTATTCATGCCGTCACCGAGCATGACGACGTTCCACTTACTGCTCGACACCAATACATACTCCTCATACACACCTTCCTTCACATAAATCACGAATGGTATCGAGCTCTTTTCCGGCACCTTCTCCATGGCCGCTCCTATGCTCTGGAAATTCCCTGTTCCATCCTTCGCCACCGTCACGTTAGCCTTCAGCTTTCCTTCCGGCGAAGCGAACAATGGAGGAAGTTCTTCAGATGCGACCAAAAGCTTCCGGTTGTTGAATTGTTTAATTTTCATTAAGTTAATGTAACTCCCATATTTGGTTGCGATGGCGAGGCTGGTGCTTGTGTACTCAGTAGCGTTCACCGTAGCGGCTGGCCCTTTGGCCCCCCCCCGGTGTTAGGCCTTCAGTACAGGTCGACAGGTCGGCGACCGCCCCGCTGAGCAGCGTCCTGATGTCGTTCGCATTCGCAGCCTCCTGTCAAACCATTAACGGCAAATAAAGGATCAAATTCAAAATTATTTTAATATAATTTAAAAAATAAAATAATGTTATTTCAATATTATTTTTATGATTCAATATATAGAATTTTAAGTTAAAATAATAATTTTAAATATTATGAATAACATTTTAAATAAAAAAATTAATGTATGATATTTTATTCTTTCCTAATTTAAATATCTTATGTTCGATTATCTGATCAAAATAAGGCTAAATTTAAACAATATTTGAACTGATTTATTCTTGAAAAATTTTGGATCTCCAGTTCTACCCTCATTCTGATCGGAACTGTGCAGAGACGGTTTTGAATTTGGATTCAACCGGTTGCATGATCCACTCACATTTGAACATGTCAAAACCGCTAAGTCCAATCTGATTTTTAAAACATTGGAGTTTAATCTTTTTATTACTGTTATTAAAAAGTTTATTTATTGAAAATTATTTGGATTAGAATATTTTTGCTTAATTTTAATAAACTTAAAACTAATAAGGTTAATTTAAATAAAAATATATAAGATTGATATGTCATTAACAAATTTTCACCATAAGACACAAATCTCGGAGGCATGGCACAGATCTCGAGTAATCATTTGAGCAATAAATATTTAAATCTTGATGAAAAGTCATCTAGATCTCAGATTTCAGTAAACTTACAGTCAAACTATTGGCTCAACAAGACGGATCCAATGATGTTAAAATGAGTCCAGTCCGAACCAAATCAAGCCCGATGAAGATGTTAAACCTCTTTTAGAAGCTTTAGATATATTTTGCAAGGTCAAACATATATTGAATCTAGCGATTCTATAGTTGAACCGAGCGTCTCGACAAGATGAATTCAACGAGTTCAAGGTCGCTCGATTCTAACATCATGAAGGCATTGAAATGTTCATCAAATGTCATCTGATCAAATGAAGCTCTCACGGTCATCCTATTAAAGTGGTTTAAATTCTTGTATTAATTACACCTACAGCTCTGTAAATAGAGCCCCACCACTTTCATGAGTGGGGGGAGTGGTTAAAATTCCTGCATTAATTCCTCCTTGAGCTCTATAAACAAAGCCCCACCCCTCTCATGAGGGAGGGGGTGGGGTGTGGAGCATGAGGCTTGATAATGAACTTGAAACATTAAGAATGAGCTTAAGTCCAGCATCACTCCTGACGCCATCAACCTCTACCTGTTGGTTGTCGGTGTTCGCTATCAGTCGCTGCCCGCTCTTAGCAACAAATTCACATGCATGTCGATGTTGTAACTCGAGAGATTTTACAATCATTTCCCGCCCGTGGGACAATGAGTTATACTTGTGATCTTCAATTTATAGTGAAACTCTTTAAGTGGGCGAGACCTCTTGTTTTTTCCTTTCCGGGTTATTCATGCAAAAACTACTGGTTGTCTTTTTCATCTGAGTGTGTGTTAATTTCTCATGCAACGTTAAAACGACAATTCATTACTCTTCCACATCAAAGATGAATTATTTAAAATTTATATTTCACCAATTGAAAATAACACTCAATAATATTTAGGTATATTATAATAAAAAACTAAATTAATTTATTTTATTAAATAAATTATGTCAACATATTCACAATAATACATTTTTTAATTAATAGAATTGGTCTAATAGGCGATATAACTATACATTATTAAATAAAGTTTAAGTTTACTTTCTTCGATATTTTTGTCTTGTTATATTTAATTTTTATGCTTTTTTAATTTATTTATATTTTACTTTAAAATAAAATATGCTTAGCATTGAGAGTTGTTATGATTACTTCTAAAAATACTCAAATTATTAAAAAAAAAATTTAAAATAAGTTGAATTATTTTAAAAAGGAAAAAAATAAAAACATATAAAAATAAAATAAAATATTAAAATAATCATAAATAGGCTCGAAATTGTTATATAATATAACTTAGTTGTTAGACATTCAAAAATAAAATCATGACTAAGAAAATATTATGAATGTCTATAGATTTAATATTTTTTTTCGAATATTTTAATTATATTTACTTTAAAAATCTATTTGACTTAAATATTTTCATGAATTTCAACTACATTAGAAACCAATAACACATATAATCATAATAAAATAAACTACATTTCAAAAAAAAAAATTCATACATTATTTTTTCATTTGTGAGCCAATTATTTCATTATAATAATTTAAATAGACTCAATTCTTTTAATTGCATAAAAAAAAAAATTTAATTAATGATTTTATTTACATAATTTTTTTTTCTAATTTTCATCATACAATATATTTTAAGTATTGTATAAAAAAAAACAGTTGCTATTCAACATTTTAGAGTATATTACTCTTATTTTCTTTATTAAACTACAATTGAATCCAATTTCACTTCATAAAAGTGTTTGTAATTTTCATCATACAATATCATCTAGAGTTCATCACAATGCATCAAAATACGTTATTTACAAAGTAATCACCCTCTTACTCATTTTTTTTTCAAATTGTCATTCAACGTAAAAAATTATAATAAACTCCAACTCGTACTCTTTAATTTTATCAAACAATCAGTTATTTGATCATGAAATGCATAAATACATATATTTGGTAGTAAAAAATATTAAAAAAAAATCAATTTGGGTAATCATTTGTAAATATCAAAATCTTATATGTAATTGTCCCACTTTATTTTTTCTACACAACCTTAATTTTAGGCTTTTAGCTCTACAATTCATAGAAGTCTTGTGAAGGTTAAGAAAAAAAAAAACTGCAAAATTTAATTTGATGTTTGTCAAAATAAGTCAACCATACTTACATGAAGGATTGCCAAAGATTCGTTCAGATGGCCCGCGGCGCTTCCAAACAGCTCCTTGCAGTCTAGCAGTGCCGCCTTAACTGCAGGATTGACCGAGCTAGTATAAAGATGATCGGAGAAAGCGGCAACTTCAGAGACAGCCGCGAGGGCCACCTGAACGGAAAGCTTAAAGATATCCACCGGGTTGTTGGCGGTGGAATTCGGCGGGCGAGCAGAGGAGATGCTGGAATAGCAGGAGTCGGGATACAGGGTGTTCGAGCAAACGACCTTTAAGGAATCGAATGTTGTCGAGTTCAGCATATTTTGGCCGGATTTGGTGCTGATGCTGTTGGAGATGAGCATGGTGGAGACGCCGGCGAAGATTAGGAAGAGGAGGATGGTGGAGATGACGATGATGGCGATACGGAGGCGAGTTTTTCGGCGATAAGCTATTTCCTCGGCCTCGCTCTTCTTCGCATGAGCTGCGAAAGAGAAGGAATCCATTGATCTTTGGCCTTCTTTTCGGATCACCGGCTGAGGCCTGGTTGATTGTATTCGTAGGCATGTAAGGGAGTGTATGGCTGGGGTATGGATTTATATTGGATTGGACTTATCAGATCATGGTTGAGTTGGTATAGATGAAGTTCGCGAGGGACGGCAGAATAAAATTCATATTTTACTTCACAATCAATTTTAGTAAATAAAGAGAGGTGATGTGATGAAATTTCATTTAAGAGAACGATGGATTTGACCCCTTTTTTTTTTAGTGTTTGAGTTGATTTAATTAAATTCATCGCATATACAATTGAATACGGCACGACCAAACATCATCTAAGAGTTCACAAGGCACAAAAAACTTTAGGGGAATCCTAGCTTGTCTTTCGGAATACAGGCCGCTAGAGATAGGGCTGAGAGGAGAAGAGAGAGTGTGTGTGAAAGTCCTTTTATTTATTTCATTACCTCTTACTTGGGGTCTAAAAATAAAGTTACAGAAAAAAGAGGTAACAATTATAATAATTGCCCAAATAATTGAATTGACGTGTTTGTCAAGCGAAAAATTAATTATAATACAAAAGAAATACAATGTTTGTTGATCTCCGGATCCTTTGGTTTTGGTCGGTCGTGTCGATCCACTGTATATATCAAAACGATTCTGCTAAGGGGACCGGTCGATCGATCAATAGAAACCAATTGATTTTGATAAGAGGTATGTCGATCAATTTTACTGCGTAGTCGGTCACCTGCTTGGCTAGTCAACATTTCGCTCTTTAGCTCATAATTTTGATCGTCTAGGACTCCATTCCTAGCCGCTCAATCCCTTTCAGATTCCTGTTGGCATTTTTGTTGTATATATATTAGTTCTCCGATTTTTTGGTTCATTGAGAGAAACGACTAGAATAAGGATATGAAATATATTAAGCAATAAATGAAGGTGATACGTCTCCAACAAACATTCATCATTCGACACGAATCTCAAGATGATATTTTAAACAAGAAACATTTAAATCTTGATAAAAAGTCATCCAGAGCTCCAATTTCAGCAAACTTATAGTCAAACTGACCGGCTTGATGAGACGGGCCTACCTAATGATATAAAAACTAGATATAAAAACTAGCCCAATCCGAGTCAAATCAAGCCCAGATTAACTCATTGAACCATACTTAGATGATTTTCGGGCACATGTGAAAGGTCAAACGGTTGTCGAATATGACAAGTTTATACTCGAATCAAGCGTCTCGACAAGAAAAATCTGACGAGCCCAAAATCACTCAATTCAGACATCATTAAGGCACTCGAATGTCTATTAAACGTTGTATGATAGGAGGAAGCTCTTCGGACAGCTCGATCAAAATATTTCATATTCCTGTTTTAATGGCATTCATAACACTATAAATAGAGCCCCACCCTTCACATGAAGGGGGGCTGGAAGCTTCAGAGAGAACTAGAAGCTCTAAGAAGGAGCTGAAGTCCAGCATCATCCCGACCGCCGTCAACCATCGTCGATCTTCGTCGGCCACCGTCGGGTTGTCGTCGACACTCGTTGATCGCTGTCATCCACTGTCGATTGTCATTGTCAATCATCATCAATCGTCGTCGATCACCACCAATCAGACACCGTCAGTCATCGTCGTGGAACATGGCTCATCTTTACGGTCCATGTGTCAACAACGACCTACGTGGTTCACAGCTCGAGCAGCTCCCGAGTCTGCTCCCGGCGACCTACGGACGTCATTCATACTCGCCACTACAACCTATATGGTCCACAACTTCCATAACTGCTTACTACGGTTTCTTTGGCCAATGAACACTTTTGGAGCAGCCATCAACAACACTCACGATAGACTATTGCCTCCATAAAAATCAACAATGACCTTTGCAACCTGCTGTCACCAAAAACTATAGCCAGATTATAGTTATACAACTTTATAATTCTATCTTCGCTAATTTAGGGGAAGAATGAACATGTGTTACTCATCATTCATAGTGGATTATTTCAACTAGTCTAGGCCCCATGGTTTTTCCCTCTTTCAAGGGTTTTCTATGTAAAAAATTGAAGTGTCTTCTCTTGCTTACTTCTCTTCTGTTATCTGTGTGTGCTAAATTTCGTGCAGCAGTAAGACGATAATCCATTACTATATCGACGTGAATTTTTTGGTACGCATCAGTTTGTTGTTGTCCGTGGGAAACGAAGTCCTGTTCGGCATTATCTTCAACTCCAAGAAGTCGATCCTCTACTTCGTTTCCCAATGATGTATATCATGCAACTGGCTAAGGAACCTGATTTACGATCTTCTCAGCTGCATTCTTCCAGGCTGGGGGGCAACATTTACTACAGTCTCGAAAGGTCGTTCACATCAATGTCCTGAGGACGATTGTAGTGAAGTTGTCTTCTTGCATCCTATTCAGACATAGTATTTTAGTATTTCACAACTTCTTCTTCTTCCAGGTTGAGGGCAACATTCACTACATTCTCGAAAGTTAGTTCAGGTCAATGTCTCAGGCACGACTGTGGTGAGAAAGTCATCCTATATTTTTTTTCAAATTACAAGTTTTCGAGAATCTATCCTGGACTGAGGGGGCAATCTTCACTGCAAAAAAAAAAACTTCATCAGTGTCCCCTCATCATACTAGACTTCCTCTTCAGCTAGCCTAGGAAGTTGATCTCTTCAAGGCCCAATACTTGTGTTGTTTTACAAGCTCACATGGAAAACACTCCCGCTGAGGGGCAAAAAATTTAAAAGCAACAACTGACAAGTTGTCAAATATTTTTTTTTGAGTATGATTGCAACCATATTTCCAAGAAAACATACGGTTCATTGCAACATACACCCAGTCTCGAGAAACGCAAATCATCTCTGACACCTCATTCTGAGATTAATCAATCCCCGAGGGACTCGATTCAACCTCTTCTATTACAGGCTACAAATGTCAAGCAAAGGCTTCGACGTACAACTTTGGATAGGTCAAAAATCTTTTGTTGATTTCTTTCGACCTCTTCCATAACAGGTTACGGTCGTTAAGCAAAAGCTTCGACCAACAACCTAGGAAAGGTAAACTATCCTAAGTGGATTTCATATGACTTTGTTCATTACGAGTTAATACTGTCGAGCATCTCTGGTTACACAACTCAGAACTAGTCTTACATCCTCTATGGATTCTCCTTTCAACCATGCCACTGAAAATCAAGCCCGGAAGGCAAGACCCGATAAGAAGCTACCATGTCGCTGGAAGACAAGCCCAAGAGGGTCTTTACTATAAAACCTCAGAAGGCTACGAGCCATAGAAAAATTTAGTACAATTGAGAAGCAACAACAATCGTGAAAGAAGCAAGAAAATACATTATCATCATCTACAAATGTCACATTTAAATGTAAAAAATGCTACAGAGACCAATATAAATTTATACAAGAGCTACAACAAATCCGCTTATCTTTGAGTAGAGTTGACATCGTCTCTTCAAAAAACAGTACTTCTGATGATCGTCAAGGGGTCTGCCGATATTGCCACTATATAAGCAAGAAAATCTTCTCCTCAAAGCGCGACAATAAAACTATAATATTTCTTCATCACCTTTAAAACATGCAAGGGTGGCACGAGAGTCTCCTCTGAAATACACGACATGAACGAGAAAGAAAATCCCGCTGCTTGTCTGCTACGCAGGACGGGGACGACATTCCTCTTCACCGCAACGAGCAAGAAGATCCCGATGGTTGCCTGCTACGCATGACCGGGACGACTTTCCTCTTCGTCGCAACGAGAAAGAAGATCACTTTGATGTCTGCTACGCAAAACGAGGACAACTTTCCTCTCCACAATAACACGTTGTCGCGACCCAACGCTTCGCTGTAACGCATTGCCCAACGCGTCATCACGTCGGGACGCATCGCCGCAACGCGTCACGTCATCACAACGCACTACTGCAACGTGTCGTCACCCAATCACGTGTCACCGCAACGCATCGTCACGCTGCGACATATCGTCGCAACGCATCGTCACAGCGCAACACGTCGCTACCACGTGTCATCACATCGCAACACGTCGCCGCAATGCCTCGCCGCGACGCAACACATCACTACAACGCGTCACCCCATCGCAGCGCGTCACCGCAACAAGTTGCCCACCCCCCCCACCCGAGCCGCAGCGTTACCCCGCAGCGCCGCCGCTACGGTTACCCTGTCATGCCACCGAGTCGCACCGCTGCATCGCGCTAGGACAATGGGTTACCCCTCCACGCCGTCGCAGCGGGTTGCCCCACCGTGTCGTCACGTCGCATCGCTTCATAGCACAGTTGCAACGCGTCGTCACGACGCACCGCCGCACTTCCACTCTCTCCTTCAGGCCCCTATTTATATGCTCAAAAAGAGCCTTGGCAAATAAATGAACATTAATATAGAAATCTAAAAAGAAGTGCAAGCATTAAATGCTCATAAATAATAATAAATAAAAACTTTTCATTTTAAAAAAAAATCTTTTCATTTTTTATTTCTTCTCTTTTGAGCCTTTAAATTCCTTAATCTCTTCAAATTTTCTTTACAAAATATTATTTATTCTATTTTGGGCAGTATTCGAACCCTGCCACCCTCATGAAGCAAAAGATACTTACCAACTGAGCTATATTCAAAGTCTTAACATATAAAGAGAAAAAATTTTCTTATACCGATGCTAATAAAATAATATATATTGATACATATGCATGACATAAATGTTCCAGATCTTGATTTTTTCGGACGATAAAATTGGTCTAGCCCTAAAATAGGGGGCAAATGATACGTCACCAACAAATTTTCATCATCCAGCATGAATCTCGAGACGATATTTTAAGCATTAAATATTTAAATATTGATGAAAAAGTCATCTAGAGCTCTGATTTCAGCAACCTTATAGTCAAACTGACCGGCTTGATGAGGCGGGCCTAATGATATAAAAACTAGTCCAATCCGAGTCAAATCAAGCCCAGATCAACTCATTGAACCACACTTAGATGATTTCCGGACATATTTGGAAGGTCAAACGATTGTCGAATATATCAAGTTTATACTCGAATCGAGCGTCTCGACAAGATAAATCTAACGAGCCCAAAATCACTCAATTTGGACGTCATTAAGACACTCAAATGTCTATTAAACGTTGTATGATTGGGGGAAGCTCTTCGGACCACCCGATCAAAATA